AGACAACGTTTATCACAAGAACGGGGTTAACGAGTGTGTAAATCACGTTTATAAGAAGCTTAGTTAGTTTGAAGGCTCAGTTAGCGGTCTGTGGGATTATGTAAATGTTAGACGACCACGGCAACCTTTGAATACCATTGTTATTGTCCATCTCTTACATAACTACCATCATTATCCGTCCATAACTACCATCATTATCCGTCCATAACTACCTTCATTATCCGTCCATAACTACCATCATTATCCGTCCATAACTACCTTCATTATCCGTCCATAACTACCATCATTATCCGTCCACAACTACCATCATTATCCATCCACAACTACCATCATTATCCATCCATAACTACCATCATTATCCGTCCATAACTACCATCATTATCCATCCACAACTACCATCATTATCCGTCCGTAACTACCATCATTATCCGTCCATAACTACCATCATTATCCGTCCACAACTACCATCATTATCCATCCACAACTACCATCATTATCCATCCACAACTACCATCATTATCCGTCCGTAACTACCATCATTATCCGTCCATAACTACCATCATTATCCGTCCACAACTACCATTATTATCCATCCACAACTACCATCATTATCCGTCCACAACTACCATCATTATCCGTCCACAACTACCATTATTATCCATCCACAACTACCATCATTATCCGTCCACAACTACCATTATTATCCATCCACAACTACCATCATTATCCGTCCACAACTACCATTATTATCCATCCACAACTACCATCATTATCCGTCCACAACTACCATCATTATCCATCCACAACTACCATCATTATCCATCCACAACTACCATTATTATCCATCCACAACTACCATCATTATCCATCCACAACTACCATCATTATCCGTCCACAACTACCATTATTATCCATCCACAACTACCATCATTATCCGTCCACAACTACCATTATTATCCATCCACAACTACCATCATTATCCGTCCACAACTACCATCATTATCCATCCACAACTACCATCATTATCCATCCACAACTACCATTATTATCCATCCACAACTACCATCATTATCCATCCACAACTACCATCATTATCCATCCACAACTACCATCATTATCCGTCCACAACTACCATCATTATCCATCCACAACTACCATCATTATCCATCCACAACTACCATTATTATCCATCCACAACTACCATCATTATCCGTCCACAACTACCATCATTATCCATCCATAACTACCATCATTATCCATCCACAACTACCATCATTATCCATCCACAACTACCATCGTTATCCGTCCATAACTACCATCATTATCCGTCCACAACTACCATCATTATCCATCCATAACT